AAGTTTTTAAGAATAATGGATCTAACTGAGTGGTTGTGTGGATGAAACTTTCGAAACACTTCAGAGTCGAAAGTCAAAATGGACTCCCCAAGAGGACCAGTTCGCATCGTTAGACTTTTTCATCAAAAAATGTCGCCACGATATTCACAAACTTCATTTCAATCGTAGTACCAATCATTCCTCTGAAGAGTGGTCGGCACTAAAAATACTTGAAAAAATGTAAATACACTGTTATTAAAGCGTCCGACAAGGGCGGCGCAGTAGTTTTTTGGCGGACCGACCTCTACCAAAAAGAAGCTTTGCGGCAACTCTCTGACACCTCTTTTTATCAAAAGGTTCAAAAAGATCTTACTTCCATTACTCAAAACATCGTCGAAAATACGATTAACGAACTCATAGCTAAACAAGAATTGCCGGCCATTGCCAAAAATCTCATCATACCCACTCCTAAAACTTCTTGTATTTACTTTTTACCTAAAATTCACAACCTAACAACCCAGGTCGGCCCATTGTCTTGGCTTGTAGTTGCCCTACCGAACTGATTTCCAGCTATTTAGACAAAATTATGGCTCCTATCCTCAAAACGTTACCTCGTATATCAAAGAAAGCCAACACGCTCTTCAAATGTTTCGCAACTTTAATTTTCTTGGACAAAACAAACTTATTTTCATCATGGACACTACACCTCTTTACACTGTCCCTCCTAATGTCTGAAACCCTACTTCGCTTAGTTGAACTAGTACTCACACTTAATTGTTTTTCATTCGGGGACAACTTTTTCAAACAAACGAAGGGCGTAGTTATGGGTACCAAAATGGGACCCACCCATGCCAATCATGATCTTGTCCTAGGCTTTGTTGAACACCAATTTTTTTGCCAATACACTGGCCCCAAATCTGAACTCTACGGTCGCTACATCGACGACCGTATCGGTGCTACCTTCTCTTCCAGAGAGGAACTTACTTAATTCAAAACCGCAGTCAATTCTTTTCACCCGGCTCTAAAATATACCTGGGAGATTTCCGACAATTCTTTATCCTTTTTAGATATCAAAGTTTCAATTGAAGGCAACGGTTTATCCACTAGTGTGTATTACAAACCTACAGACTCACATAGTTACTTGCTGTATTCATCTTCGCATCCATCTCATGTTAAGAATTCCATCCCCTTCTCTCAGTTTTTAAGACTTCGTCGTTTATGTACTGATGACTCTGATTTTTCCCACAAATCAGAGTCAATGGACCAGTTTTTCGAAAAACTTGGTTACCCTGTTTCTGTCGTTCAAGCGGGTCATCACCGCGCCCAACTTATTGATCGACAGTCAGCACTACAAACGTCACAGAAGGAAAATTCCGACCGCACTCCATTCACTCTCACATTTCACCCTCACAACCACTCAGTTAAATCCATTATTCTTAAAAAACTTCAAATTACTTTAAAACGATCCAGAGACTGGCACTATCTTTTCGCAACGTCCCCTTATTTCATTCAAACGCGACAAAAACATTGGCAATCTTTTTGGTCAGAAGTTCATTCCAAACTAATGACCAACCCGGCACTTTTAAATGCGCTCGCGCACGATGCAAACCTTTTCCCTTCATTCACATCACTCAGAAAATATCGGGACCCAAGCGATCCATTAAGATCACCGATCACTTCAAGTGCTCCTCCGCCAATGTTATCTATTGCAAAACTTGCACTTATTGCAAAAAGTTATACATCGGCGAAACAGGAAGACGACTAGGTGACCGATTCCGAGAACACCTTCGCGACGTGGAAAGAAATGACAAGGACGCATCTAAACCAGTCGCTAGACACTTTCATTTACCTAATCATTCTAAACAACATATGGCAGTCTGCTGTCTTTCCTTACATTTAGAGAACACGGAAAGCCGCAAAACTCTTGAACAAAAGTCAATCTTTCAAATCGGCACTCTTAGTCCCACAGGCATCAATGGACGCTTTTCATTCCACTAATTTATTCCTGTTTTTCTCGTT